TTTAAAGGACCCGTAGCTCACTAATTGCAAGATAGTTGATATTATTGTTATTTACTATGAAGTATAATAAATTGTTTTGATTTATAAACATTGTACTAAAACTAAATCATACATTTTTAACTGTTTCTGATTACATTTATTTTCATACAATAACTAGGTACCTTGTACCTTCTCAAAAGTTATAACAATTTAATTTACATTTTAGATTTTAAATTCTGAGAAATGTATTTATGAATGTACTAATTATAATATAATATGACTATTATTTTTTGTTCTATGGTAATGAAACAACTTAGATAGTTTCAAGTAACCTTATAATCAATAAGATTAGAACTTAAGTTAAGTTCTTTGTAAAGATCATTTTAGATGTTATCTAAGTGTAAAAAAACTATTATCAACTATTAAAAATATTGAATAGCTCGTAACTAACTCAGATTTGTCAAGCTCTATTTATTGCTGTTTTTTAAATAATGCAATGTATTAATGTCTGTTCTATTTGTGCCTCCCCAACATGTTATGTCGTAGTAGTTGAGACAAACAAATATTTGTATCTTGTATAGTTTTTTTTAATTAAAATACCAACAATCTAAATGTATTATAATTTATAATGTTATACTTATGTGTTACTGCTTTACATAATCTTGTATTATTATTTTTCTTATATATTGTGCAGGTATGTATTACTTAAAGAACGCAATATGTTATTAACAATGGAACACGAATGCAAAGCTCAATTTGAATTATTCCCAAATCCCGAACGTATTGATAAGGTATTCTTTAATTATAATATCATTATATCAATGAAGCATTTTATTTATTATCCATGGAACCTATAATTAACATTTATTTATATTATTAAAAGGTTGAAGAAAGTATGAATAATTTAGAAACTGTTGTACGTGAACGTAATGAAGCTTATTACAAATTAGAAGTTGGAGAATCTGCAGAAAGACCTGGACAATTAGTTACTAATTTATTGGGTAAATTATTGCTTTTTAGAAAATACTTAATAATGACTTCAAATTTGAAGAATTTATAAGGTAGAAAAAATATTTTATTTAGTTATCAAAGTTAGTTTACTTTATGTATTTTTATATAATTATTAATTTTTAATAATTTTTTAGTTGCTTAGTATAAAGTTGAAAAATAATTTAGGCTATATTTATCAATGACCATATTTTATAACTAGCTGATCCCATGCACTTTGTTTCCCTTTAAATGCGACAACTCTATATGACTCAAACTTTGTTCAATTCGTTATTTAATATTTGGTGTATGGTGTTCATAATTTATCTTAATTCTTCTGTTGCCTGGGATAACAATTCTGATTCACAGCAGTAGTTATCAGGTTGGCAATCTACCTGCTGTAGATCGCTTTATAATTTAACTAATAAGTATCAAAGTTATACCAAGTATGTCACTGAACTCCTCCTAAACGTCTGGACTAATTGTGAATGCCAACATTTCTTCCTCATCTACGAAGATGTACATAACTTTACTTAAAACCCATGGCGACCATTTATAAACAAAAATTTCCACCGTAAATCTCTAAATCCCCGTTTGAGCACATACCCTGGTTGGACCTAAGGGGGTGATTTGTAGCCTATGTTATTCTAATGCATAAGATATATTATTGTAAAGTTTCATTAAAATCCATTCAGTAGTTTTTATGTGAAAGAGTAACAAACATACTTACAAACTTTTGAGTTTATAATAGTAGGATACCATTTGAGTAGGCATATCGTGTTTGTAAAATTAATTATGTATTTTATTATAATTTCAGGGTTGAACTTTTTTTATCGTAAATTTGAACATTTAATACCAAAATTTTTGAATAAACAATGGAGAGATAAACATACGTTTAATGTTGTTAATGGAAACATTGAGAAATTCCAAAGGTTATATAGAGAAAAATTACATAATGCTAATAGAAAAAGTAGAAAGTAAGTACTTATATTACCATATTGGTTATTAAATGATTAAAATAAATACAGCCTTGTCAAAAGTTATTTACTTAAATCATATAGGTACTTAAGATCCTTGAATCAATTTTATTTCTAGTATTTTCTACTTTGTATTTGATTATAAAAAAGTTGTGATAATGGTTACTAAACATATTATTTTTACAAAGTCTCAATTATAATTAATAATGTACCTATTCATATGTATTTCACTATATTTGGAATTAATATACTTGTTGGATTCATAAATCTGAATAACGACAAAAGTTTAGAAAAACATCATCAATTTTTTTAAGGAGATTAAGATAGGAAGGTAAAATAGAAATATAATACTGAAATACTAAAATTAATATTTTTAGTGCTCAAAAATATGTTCTTCTATTTATATTTTATACACAGTTCGATACATACTATCCACACATCTACATTTTTGTGTTATTTTTAATACTAACATAGATTCCAGTTCATCATTTATATTATAAACTTTGAGATAAACAACATTATACAGGATACAGGATTATGTTGAAAATCGTTAAAATAATTCAAAAAATACATTTTTTTTCCCATTAATTTTTAATTATTGTTTGATTCTCTGCATAAATTGATGATCTGCAACTCTATTGGTCCCAATTATTGTGGATAATCAATGTTCTACAGTAATTTTATTTATTTTCAATAAATTGTAGTAAGCTCTATGTACTTATGTGATTATGTGATAATTATCTATTATTAGCAAACTAAATTGTAATTTATTAAAATATATAATTAGAGAAGGTTTAGCTAAATCATTTCAAAATAATTTTATGGTAATTTTATATATTAATTTGTATGTATATATTTTTTTTAAGTCGGGATCGTAACCATGTGATGCATCTGATGAAGCGTTATCCAAATATGGACATGGAAGCTGTCAAACAACAATATCCTTCTGTAGACATTGAAAAAATAAAAAGCTATCATAAAGTCAGAGGACATTATGTACCTTAAAATGTATTATAATTTTAATATGTTAACTAAGTTAATAAAGTAATCCAATTTTGTCTGTTCACTTGAAACAAAAATGTTTATTATTATTAATAGCTTTGTGAAAAAGGATAGATAGATTAAAGCAAAATATATTATGAAATACCTCCATTCATATTTGTTTAGAAATTGTCAAGTGCTCTTTTTTATATATATCATCACTTTTGTACTTAAATTGCATAACCGAATAGTATATTCAATATGCTTATTTATCTCAGTATCTGATTAAAATGTTTTTATAAATTATAGAAATATGAATGGTAAAATAAAGAAGGTGGCCAAGTGGATACAACTCTCCTATACTATATTTGTCAAGTATGTCATTGTATCACTGTATTGGATGTGTACGCATGTGTAGTTTCGTCCGAGACGAATTTAGGTGTGTATAGTTTTTTATACTTACATATACTTATTTTCAACAACTGCCATGCATTCTCTTGGTATACCCAAAGGGTAGTTTTTCATATCCGTCAATAGTGATTATCTGATGTACAATCTGAGTTTGTTTGTTTGAACGCGCTAATCTCAGGAACTACTGGTTCGAATTGAAAAATTATTTTTGTGTTGGATAGTCCTCAAAGTCCTAAGTGCTCAAACAGAGATGGACATATTTGTTTATAAATGGTTGCTATTGGTTAATCGGGCAGATCAGGTACAAGCATGCATCAAAGCAAATTTTCTCACATTGCCCACCAGTGTGGTTGAGTTACACCAAAAAGGAGTTGAACGCAGGATCAGCTATATTATATATAAATGAATGTTTGTGTGCAGATCTCTGGGAAGAATAGATAGGCTAATTTAAAAGGGTTACATTTGGTTTGTTTTATTCATTGGATTTTAGTACGGTTAGTTTAGGTTAGGATTATGTATTAATTGATTATATTAATCTACCGTATTATATCAAAATGAACTTGGTATAACTTATTAACTTTGATACTTTAGAGTTAAATCATACACATACGACATACGTACAAACAGCACTGGGTCCGCGATCTACCACAGGTAGATTGCCTACCTGATAAATGATAATATACTGCTGCGAATCAGAATTTTTATTATTATATAACAGAAAAGTTACAAAACAAAAAATACATTTTGAACACCGGTTAATCGTGGATAGGTAATAGGTATGCTGGAATTATAATTTTACTAAAAATTAACAAATTGGGCTGAAATGCACTTTACCACGCCCCACACGAATTTCGAAATTTCTTTTTTTAAAAGACGTGTTTTTCAACGCTGATTTCGAAACCGTTTGAATTTTTGTGCGGAAACCATTATTTTGGAAGTTATAGCCTTCCAAAGTTTGCGATTTTACGTTTATACGCATGCGTGCAACACTACTTTAATGCAGCCCGGAGGTACTCGAGTTTGGCGAATGGAGCCACTATTGGTACACTTATTATACTTCAACTGGCTCCTGGAGGCATATTAGCGTTCTGTGGATGGTCTCGGCACCTATGCTCGTTACCCGACTATAAAAAAAAAATAGTAATTACCCTGTGACCTAACTTAAGGTGGTGTTGCATAGCAAGTCGAGGGATATTTTCGATTTGAGGAGCGCAGCGACGAGTGCCTCAAACTGTGTAAGCACTGCCCATATACTATGATGCCCATACAGGCGAAGGGAGCCACTATAACAAGTGCGTATACTTTAACTGGCCATCAAGCCTGGTGCCCTGGTCGTGTTACAATGAGTTTAAAGACATGAGTCATTTGTGTTACTTATTAGTTTACTTGTTAGGTCACTTACCTACGGTGGACGAGCTCCCTATACTTTAATTATAGCGCTGTGGATATGCGTAAAAAAGCAGTGCGGCGAGCGAGTGGCAACGATGGCAACTCGAGTTTGAGTACAATATAGGTATAGACGTATAGTAGGTAGGTACTACAAATGTCTACAATATACTAATTAGCCTATCTACCTGATATAATTATCATCAAGATAATATTGAATATAACAATATTAGTAATAATATTATACAATTTATAATGAGATAGTTATAAAATAGAGAAATTGGTATAAATATAGAACGAAGACCAATTAAAATGTGTAATTTTGTTGGTTTTGGCATAATTCTAGTTTAGCGCCTACGCGAATTTTTCGATTTTTTTGTCGGAAATCCGTGTATTTCAGCGAGGTTTTAAACGGTGGTGTAAAAATTAATTTGCGGAAATGATTATTTTGGAAGTTACAGCCTTCCAAAGTTTTCAATTTTACGTTTATACGAATGCGCGCAACACCACTATTATAAGTGCAGCGACGAGTGCCGCAAGACGTGTTATCACTACTATACATACTATACAACATAACTTTATTTGTCTGAATACAGTGTGTTTATGGATTATAATATAAACTGAAAACTTAGATTAGGTAAATTAGCCATTTACATTGGTGCCATCATTTGTAAAACGTTGATTTATCTATGTTTCAAAAAAAAATTGACTTGTTAGGTCATCCGTCTGCCCGAAGGGCAGGTATGCTCTCCCCCCGAGACCCCGAAGGGGTCGCCACCCCAACCCCCCGGGGCTTAAATAGCAAATCTAGCGAGAGGTCCGCAGGACCTCGAGTTTGGCGACCGGAGCCGGCATTCGTAGTGAGCTTCTATGGACTTATGTTACTCTAACTGGCGACCGGAGCCGAAAGGCGAAGGGAGTCACTATATACTTATGTAAACAGGTCAAGGAGTGAAAACACAAATTAACTATGCATACTACGGACTCGTAACTTTTAATATAAAAATATCGACGTCCTCCGCGGGGCATTAAAGTAGTATTGCACGCATGCGTATAAACGTAAAATCGCAAACTTTGGAAGGCTATAACTTCCAAAATAATGGTTTCCGCACAAAAATTCAAACAGTTTCGAAATCAGCGTTGAAAAACACGTCTTTTAAAAAAAGAAATTTCGAAATTCGTGAGGAGCGTGGTAAATTGCATTTGTTCCACAAATTGTTTACTATTTTTTGAAATCGTCATAATATGGTCTATAATAAGTTGTAAGTTGTAACACTGTTAGTTCAGAAATACTGAATATTTATATAACTTACGGTATGTTATTATATTTATATGGGTTAGGTTAATCTGTCGTGTGGTCGAATCGTTTCATACTTTCTTGTCGCGCTTCTCATGGAACTGCCACGTAGCTCCTTACACTCCTCAATTTCACCGTCACTTCCCGTCTGTTGTTCCACGACCATCTCCTGTTCCGAGTGTTCCGACACCAACATAATATAATATATTCACCTCGATCTGCTCAGCCTGGCTTTCTCGTCGGGTTCGCCGGCCGCTTTCCAATAACACCACTGCAGAACGAACCCCATCATATTTCCCGGACGCGGGCAGCATTTCCGTTACATATATTATGCTTATATACCTTATTACACCGTTTAAAGTCCTCGGGACGGGTTGTACCCGTTTTTAATTACCTATATTTTCTATACCAAACGCGAAGTACAAAAAATGTAATCACGGCAAAGGTATCACGATGAAGGCATGGAGAGAAAGAAAAATGTTTAAGTATGATAGATGCAAGGTGGTTATAATATGAATATAAGATGTAACCAAAAGTTTACGTTTTGTAGGGACCGTAGTATAGATTTTAGTGTCGGTTTGTGCAGAGGATACGCGTGAATGGCGTGATATGTGAGCTCAGTACTCTTGGGGATTTCCACTTTACCTCCCGGAAAAACGTCGCTTTCGAACTCTTCAACCGTCATTGAAAAATAAACTTTTGGTGCAGGCTTGACAAAAAAATGTTTACTCGTCATGCAAGGAGGTTGCAATATGTATGTAAATAAATATATTAATAGCTTAATTAAATGTTTTTTTTGCCAGTCGTCGACGACGACTCGAAACGGTACTTTGCTACTAGAATAAGCTTATTAAGTCAATAACAAAATATATATTATGCAATAAGCTTTTGCTTAACCGCTATTTTACTTTATAATTTAACAATACGAAAATAGTATTACCAATTTTTATTACAACCTATTTACCAAGAAAATGGTTATCAATATTATTATTATTATCGTTTATCGTCGACGACGATCGATGACGGTATGGGATGTCCAAATACACATTATACATTTATACAGCTTTAAACTATATACCTCTGTAGAGAAAAGTTCATTGTTATGACTTATGAGTTATGGTGCAACTATCACTAAAAAATAACTAACATGACTGGTCAGCATTTTGATTACCTACTGAATGAATCATGTTTTTAAAATTCAATAAACAAATTTTTAATTAGGTATAACAAATTATATCGGACTCAATAGATTTTTTTTTGTATTTAAAGATTATTTCAAATACTTTTAAAAAGTATTTATAGTATTTAGGGTGGAATTTAAAAGTATTTGAGTAGGTAATTACTTAAGGCGGCTCTAAACGATTGGATTTTTCATGCATTTAGACCAATAAGCTGGCGAAAAATACACATACTTCTAGTAGTCCAATTTCAATTTTGAATACTTATTTGGATTCGCTAGCCTCTTTTCTATGATCTGTAGGAAACACTTTTTCATCTTTTTGTCTAGTTAGCACTTAAAAGTGCAAGTTAAATTTGAGAAATCAAGCAGTCATTTGGAACCGTAATATACGTAAATTATCTAAAATATCCAAAATCGGTTTCCTACAAATCATAGAAAAGAGGCTAACGAATTCAAATAATTTTTCAAAATTGAAATTGGACTACTAGAAGTATGTGTATTTTTCGCCAGCTTATTAGCATTTTTCACTGTTGTGAGTGTACAAAAATATTTTTCGAGATTGATTACGTTGACTTGTGCATGCGCGTACGTGTGCTATTGAACCGTGTGCCCGCAGCCGGGCGATATAAAATCTATTGTTATCGAGTTCGAATTTCTTCGAATTTCACACTAATAATCATTTACGACTAACACATAGATTACGGGCGGCGACGACAAGATTAGAAATTGCCTAAATTGTTCCCCTTAAAT